AGCTTCACTGTAACCCATGTGATGCGTTGATTGTTGATTGAGCCTTGTAAGCTGAGAAGATGAAAGCGATATCTGTGTGGTTGTATCCTTTCAGGATTTAAGGGGATTTCTCACGACTGTCATCAGCACTGTTCAGTACACTGAATCAATGGCATTGTTCTCTATGAAGTGAAATATCAGCTTCACTGTAACCCATGTGATGCGTTGATTGTTGACTAAGCCTTGTAAACTGGCACTAATATTGTTTCTCGCAATTATTTCTAGGCAATATATCGCTAAATAAAAAAAAAAAATAGTTAACAAGACCAGCCTATGGACAGGTGGCTTGATAGGCCATCTATCAGTGGACCTGACACCAGAAGAGCTAAGAAAAATGGACAGCACAAAAACACGTCAATAGCAATGGGGGGTGGGGGTCCATGAGGTTGGTTTGAGATATTATGGGGGTCCAGTACTCAAAAAAGGTTGAGAACCACTGCTGTAGATGACCACCTGAAAAATAGAGTCCACATAGCACAATCACATAATGCTAAAATAACACAATGTAACAAAAAAAAAAAAAAAAAAGTAACTTAATTTTTTAATAGTTTTTCTGTAATGCCGTGGTGCTAATTATTATTGTAATGCATTTTTTAAAGACACTTTGCTTTTGCAAGGATGGGAACATAGAAGTTTCTGTAACATTCTGTAATATTCTGTAAAATGCTAGTGCTTTCTGGAACATTCCAGAACATTGTGGGATATAAAAAGACAAAAATCATCCAATGTGTACTTGTTTACTTGTACTAATTTTTGGTAACTGTTTATGTTAAACTGTTGTTGTTAGCTCAGTATTATGCATGTACCATGTAACTGTTATGCATAAGTAATAACATATTATTTATTTTAGTTTTCCTGAGCACTTTTAATGCTAAACAAAAAGTATTCAGCATGTCAAACTTCATACAGAAAAGTTTTTATAAAAATCTATTTCACGATGCAATACAATAAAAATGAACTAAAAATGGCAACAAAAAAATATAATATGAAAACTCCATAATGCACATAAAGAATAATAATAATAAATAATAATAATAATAATAATAATAATATTATTATTATTATTATTATTATTATTATTATGATTATTATTATTATTTACAGTGTATCTATCATAATTTCACATCCAGCACAAACTTCAGTATTTGCCACGAGTTTAGAATGGTGTGCCTGTTTCCCTTCCCTCCCTCTGTTTTTTATTTATTTATTTAAAATTATATCTGACCTCTTTGTGATCAACTAAACTGCATCTCCTTCATTTGGAAATAATGTGATACAGCATAAGTAAACTGCTGAAATGTCTATGGGGGTGTTGATGACAGAAAATGCTATTATACAATAGACTGCAAAACAATATTGATGCACTGTATATACTCTTTCTTTTATTTTTGGTAAGCTCATATGATTTCTTATTAATACACCAGCTGTCAAATGCTGTCACCCATAATACCCATACCATATTTCAGCAGAGCAATATATTTATATACAGAAGATCGATTGTGACAGATCCAGGATTTCAGTTTATTGAATAACATTTCATTGTGAACAACAGGTCATCGTTGACTATTTAAGGTGAGATCCGTCAGCCTTTCATCACAACCACAACGAGGGTAAATTGTATCCATGACAACAAAGCTTTCATTGGCGCGCTGCCAGACGCGTCTCTACTAGGGTGCAGAAATATTGCTATGGCAACTGTATCCGTCAGGTGATTACGATTATTAGTACATAAAGCTGGCTGTAGTTTTGAAAGAGATAGTGATGGCAACCTAGAAACTGAAAATGATAGCTATTTTTGTTTGATAAAGGGCAGGACAATTCCTTGCCAAGACATTCTGGCTGCCATTATTTGGAAACGCGATGGCATTCAATGTATAACAGTACGTCATAAAAATCATATAAACGCGGGACATAAGATGCAAGTAATAGATGTATAAATTGTAAGGGACGAGTACAATTAGATACTCATTTCCCAAAATAATAATGATCACCTTGTCTTGTATCACCCTGAAGGGGTTTGTTTGTGTACATTATCCCACTTATTACACGACTACTTACCAAAAATGGACATTATATTTTGATATGAATTGCAATAATATGATTTGACTTTGGAATAAATATGTCATAATAGTCATTACTAAGAAATATGTAACGATTGATAAATCAAACCAATCAGAATCAAGTATTCCAGAGAGCGCCGCGTAATGAGCACTTTAACTCTGCGCCCTCAGTTTATAACGTATCGATCAGTGCCGAAGATAACGCGCTACCTGTTGTGCGCGGAGCTCAGTCGTGGTCATCATCAGACCCCTCCCAACCTGTGGATTTCCTTCAGCACGCATACTAAACGCTCATTTACCCACATTTTTTTTGTTTTTTTTGTCACGCTCTGATGCATTTTCCTCTCAGTAATTTAATCCGCTCGCGCGCCATCACCATTTCCCCTCTCATTCCAGACGAAGAATTTCACACATTTTCATTATTATTACACAAATAAATCACTCCGATAATAATATGCCAAAACATAACACAAATAATGCATAGAGGTTATGTAAATAATAATAATCAACGCTTTAATGAGGCAAAAACGCACAAAGAAACTCGGACACACCCTCGCGCAACAATAACAGCGAGCTGTGTCATTCTGCAGCATTTTGTATTCATACATTTGTTCAACAAACTCCGAATTCACTTATGCTATGTGTGAACTACATTATGCATCTCAAAACAAAATCTACACTGCCCGTTTATTAAATGTTTACATTACATAGACTGATTATGTCATTGGAGTAAAAGCGAGGCTTGACGCACGTCATTCCAAAATACATTCTTTATAATGAGGAAACATCAAGCAACATCTCTAAGACTATGAAACAACAGCACACGCCCTAGTTGGATAAGTGACTTCATACCCTACCTCGTCTCGTCTCCTTAAGGGTACTTGTAAGTGGATGGGCAACAGTGGGTCACACTCTGCTTCACGATCCGCACGACTGTAGGGTCCTCAAGTCGTTGTCTGTTAAGTGGATTTTGTGGCGTTTTGAGATGGAACGAAAAGTTATGAATGGTTAAAAATCCACTTAAACGAGCGTTTGATGTTCTATAGCAGTCAACAAGGTTCACCTCCTCTTTTCTGATACAAATATACTGACTGTTGGTTTGTCCCTTGTCTCTTCTCTCCCACTCTCTCGGTTCCCGCCCCGCCACGCGCGCAATGAGAGACACCGCACGCGTTGGTCGCGAGTAGTGGTTGGTTGGTCTTTATAAGCATGTCTTCAAAGCGTATCTAAAAGTCTATACAAAGCCTTTTGCAGTGACTGCACAACATTATTCAATACGGTTTGTTTTTTTCGGCGTTCACAAATGCGAAATCTTTCGGTTGTTTCAGCAATGAGTTATAATGCAAAGCAAATCGGAACTTTTACTGAACTCTTCAGCTTCTCAGATGATTCTCCTGAGAAAAAGACCAGCGTGTGCGACCTAACATTCAGAGGAGATCTCAAAAATATCTTAAATTTGTGCTCTCAAATCTGCTCAAATTTGTATAGATACCTAAGACAGTCAATCAAAAGTCTGGGATTTCAATATGAACATTCTCCTACACTCTAAAAATGCTGGGTTGTTTCAACCCAATTTTGGGTCAAATATGGACTAACCCAACTGTTGGGTTAAATTTTGGTTACATTTTTAAATGAACTTTTTAACCCAACAGTTGGGTTAGTCCATATTTGACCCAGAATTGGGTTGAAACAACCCAGCATTTTTTATAGTGTAACTATGTTAGCAACATCATGGCTTTATCGTAATGTAGGCTATATCAACAGTTGTCAGTTGTCTCTCTTTTTTATTTTAAAGTTGTTTTAGGAGAAACATCTGGGACAAAGGTGATTCTGAATAATATTTTGCCCAGGATTGGGGTGGCCGCAAAAACAATCACAGGGAGGCCTACTAGTTGAGACATTTTTTTTACTCCAGTGAATATTTCTCAACATGGATTTATTTTTGAAAGTCATACATAACTGAATGCCTTGGCTACAAAAAAAAAGAAAAAAAAAAAAGTATTGAATGTTTCAAGAATTCAAGATATTCACTTTCAAAACTTATTTCAAAATATTCAAAAGCTATTCAAAACTTTCACTTTTGTTTAGTTTTTTTTGTTCATGTCACATTAAATTGCATCACATTAATCACTAAAATTATATATTTTAATTCAAAATGGCACAATTTGACAAAAGTAGTGTAGCTTGCATAACTGGATATTAGTTTTGGTTGTGTAACATTTTTAGTGTAAAAGAGTTGCCAAAATTGTTTACATATCTTACCTCACACTCTTTCAGCTGAAGTGTTGCACTGGAAATCTGAATGTGCCATAGTGGTTACAGCCTAATGAGATACAGCATTTTTCATAGCTAGCCCCATTCTCCCGTATATTAATTTGTTGCAATCAGAGAATAAAGCTCAAACTGTATCCATTTTGGCATGATTTATAAAGAAACAGTATGAATCAGAAATAGAAAAGGACGAACCCTTCACATAGGCTAAAACAATACAACCACATTTTATCGTAGTTCATAGACACTGATTTTCAAACAAAATGAACACCACTTTGGTTATTAAATACATATTTTCAGAATATTCCCAATATTATTTTTTAGAATCAGTGCAAGGATACCAAGTACCAAGGATACCAATACAAAGAGGCAACAAAGGCTCAGATTCAGCAGCTGTGCCCTGAACTTACAGTAAAAATGCAAAGAAAAGAATGAGGAAAGCACAGCGACAGAAGTGGACCACAGGGTCCTCGATGCCTGCAGCTCTGCTTTCCGAGGTTGAGTTGTGTTATTGTTTTCTTACTTGAGAATGTGGGATTAATAAAGTCTGTTTTTCTTTGTCCAATTGTGGCTACATATATTGCAACATTGTCCCATGTAAAAGTGCATTGCTCTGTCCTTCATCTTTTCCGCTGTGTCCACTGTTGTCCTCAGGAATGGACACATCATACAGAAAAGAGGCATCAGGGCTTCTCTTGCTAAGATAACAAGATATAGACAGGTTAAAAGAAAGTATGGTTGTGAAATAACAATATTATGAATTAACAAACTATCTGGCCTCATGTTGGACCATGTTGTCCAGCTTACCTGCATCTTGCTGTAGATCCAGGGCAGAAGGCTGGTCACTCTGCTATATACTCCTGGTCTTTGTCTTTGTCCACATCCAGCTCCCCAACTCGTAATTCCAGCCAGATACCAGCGGTTATTATCCCCCTTGCACACCAGCGGACCTCCACTGTCCCCCTGAGACCAAAGACAAGGACAGAGAGAAAGCAAATGGAACATGGACTCCAGATCATTGTGAACAAGCATGTATAACAATTATTAAAAACAGTAAATAGTATAAAAGTTTAAGTATAAAATAAATTAATAGTTCTTTTGAACAGTACTCGTTTTCAGTCTACACTACCAGTCAAACATTTTTGAACAGTAAGATTTTTTTTTTTTTAAGAATTCTCTTCTGCTCACCAAGCCTGCATTTATGTGATCCAAAATAGAGCAAAAGCAGTAATATTGAGAAATATATATTTTTGTTATTTAAAATAACTGCTTACTATTTGAGTATATTTTAAAATGTAATTTATTCATGTGACCAAAGCTAAATTTTCAGCACCATTACTCAAGTCTTCAGTGTCACATGATCCTTCAGAAATCCTTCTAATATGCAGATTTTTTATCATTTATTATTATAATTTTTTTTATTAATATTATTATTATTATTATTATTATTATTATTATTATTATTATTATTATCAATATTATTATTATTATTGACATCCTCCAGGATGTTACAAACACATATATTATTATTATTAATAATGTTAATGACATCCTCCAGGATGTTGGGGCGGGAGAATTATTATTATTATTATTATCGTTATTATTAATGACATCCTCCAGTATGTTACAAAAACATTTATTATTGTTATTATTAATGACATCCTCCAGTATGTTACAAAAACATTTATTATTATTATTTTAATTATTATTATTATTATTAATGTTAATGACATACTCCAGGATGTTAGGGGGAGAAATTATTATTATTATTATTATTATTATTATTATTATTATTATTATCGTTATTATTAATGACATCCTCCATACTTTTATTTAGCAAGGATGCTTTAAATATATCAGAAATGATAAAGACATTTAGAATGTTACTAAAGATTTCTATTTAAGATAAACGCTGTTCTTCTGAACTTTCTATTCATCAAAGAAACCTGAAAAAAAATCTACTCAGCTGTTTTCAACATAATAATAATAATAATAATAATAAATGTTTTTTGAGCAGCAAATCAGAATATTCAAATTATTTTTGAAGGATCATGTGACTGGAGTAATGATGCTAAAAATTCAGCTTTGAAATCACAGGAATAAATTACATTTTAAAATATATTCAAATAGATAGCAGTAATTTTAAATAGTACAAATATTTCAAAATGTTACTGTTTTTGCTGTACTTTGAATCAAATAAATGCAGGCTTGGTGGGCAGAAGAGACTTCTTTAAAAAACATTAAAACAATCTTACTGTTCAAAAACTTTTGACTGGTAGTGTATATTGCTAAAAAAAAAGAAATCTATACAAGTTTATTTCCAAAACAAATTTAATGCAAAGTATTTTATATAAATTATTTTATATAAACAGTTTTTTAAACAATTATAACCAATTGTTTCATAAAAATCCTTATGTCTGTGTGGAGTTGCACCACATGACATTTTGCAGTCTAAACTAACCTTGCCTAAGGTCACATTTAGAGACTTATTGACATTGCTCCTCCTGTTGATATATTTTCCTGTTTTATGTTAGTTCCATCATATGGCAAAATATTTTTTTTTACAAAAAAGAATAAAATATTACATAACTTCTCAAGTTTTTTTTTTCTTTTTAATAATTAATGAGACTGAAATATGTCTGGTGTAATGTCATTTACCCATTATAATTTTTATAGAAAGTAGTTCTTAAAGCAAATTTCATCATGCACTACATACTTGGTTGAATAAAAAAACAGTTGTAGCACTGTGAACAACAGCATAAAGCATTTGCCCAAACCAGAATAAATCAATGTCATGAGACAAAGGAGCACTGGGCGAGACTTGGCCAGTGAATAATGTATTTGCCTGAGGTCACTTGTGCTCTTGTAGCTTAGGTATACCCACCTGACAGGAGTCCCGGCCCCCATTCATATCACCGGCACATATCATATTCTTGGTGATGGCCCCACGGTACACCTGACTGCTGTTACACAGACGTGTGTTGATGATATTCACTGTCACTTCCATGAGGCTTGTAGAGGCACGGACTGTGAGAGCAAAGGAAACGCTCACAGTCAAAGGTCAGCTAAAAGCTCCAAAGAAGAAAATAGACATTGAAAGCTGTAACATGGGCAGATTTCTAAGATCAAATCTGCATTTTCAAACTGTAAAGTATGAATAAAAAATAAATAAATAAAATAAAAATAAAAGGTTTTAATTGTTCAATGCACTATTATTTTATAATAATATTTTAAGAATAGTTATTATATAATTATATACATTGCATTTTTTTGCATAAAGAAAATATAGTAATTTGTTAGGAAGATTAAGATTTTTATTTATTTTTTTTGTATTGTGACATTATTTTTATGACTGTTACGATTTACCACCCAATTTCTAATGACTGTAATGTGTTCAGATGCTTTACTTTTTAATTTATTGGTAATTCTCATTATTCTCAATAATGATTGTTATTATTCTCGTCAAAATTGTCCTATTTGTAAAAAAAAAATAAAAAAATACAATTATATATATATATATATATATCAACATTATATAAAGGCAACACAATATTATAATGTATACATACAATATTTTAAAATGTTAATAATTATTATATTATTATGTTATTACATACATTATTAAAACATTATATTATTTGTGTAATAATTGCCAGAATATAAATATAACATGCAAGAGACATCTTATTTTTTCTGAAAAATTAATTTAATTTAATTTAATTTGATTTTATGCTTTTTGTGAATCACTACATGTTCTGTGTTTACCTTCTGTATAACACTGTACTGTTTAGGGAAATTATAATTATACATGGTGTTACACTTTGTCCTATTTGTCCTCCTCTTCTGTTTTCATTCATTCTCATTTTTATCTGTCTGTACCTTCTCCCTCTTGTGTTGTCCCAAAGCCAGATGTCCAGCACTCTGATCCATCAGAAAAGGTTTGGTCAAATGTAGGAAAGCAAACTGGCTCCACAGTGCCTGGAATGAGAAGAGAAATGTTACTATAGAATATTCGGAATACATATAGAGTCATACTTGCTATATTTATGGTACTTTATGGGTGCTAAATGGTTTCACTGTAGAAAAAAAAACCAGTGAATTTTCATTTTAGGGGGAACTATTTCATCAAGAAAACCCAACTCACCGGAGAAGGTAACAGGACTACTGAGTTTCAGCAAGGCGACATCATAATCATTGTTGTTAATGTTGTAGTTCTCATTCACTATGATCTTCTTCACAAGGTAGGGTATCTGAAGGGCACTCTGGGAAATAGCCCCAGCATAGACACGCCAATTTCCAGAATTCCTCATTGAGCTGTGATCAACAAAAAAAAAAAAATCATGTTTATCTCAATAAATGTTATAATGGGAAAAAAAATAATGATTAAAATAAGTTCTAAATACTTGCTGAAAATCAAAGCAACTAAAAATAATAAACATTTGCTATTGAACAAGTTAGTTCCTGTTGCTAAACTTCTAGAACATTAGATTAGCAACACCAATGTGTTCATGCAGGCTAAATTCAATGCTTAAAGGGGTCATGAACTGAGAAATCTAAATTCCCTTGATCTTTTGATATGTAAGAGGTCATTGTGCTATAAAAAAACATCCTGTAAATTTCAGAAATCAAAACTTTATAATTAGTCTAAAAAAAGCTTATATTAAAGCCAAAATCTGCCAAAACGACAGGTTGTGGAATGTACCACTTTATGATGTAGTAGTGTGGCTAAACACCACCTCCACAGAAGAAGATCAACGCCTGCTTCTACATCACTGCCTGTTTGTCCCCACCCACCGATTCATGCATGTAGTAGGTAAATGAAGACAGCGGCATACGCAGGTCTATGCAGAAACCAAACGCTACAATTTATTTGATGAATTTTATTTTTAATGAAGTGCCACGTCAGTAAGAACTCGGTCCTTTGTTCACTTAATTTTACCACGGATTAATTTCAGTATCAAACACAGGAGAGAAAATAGCCTATTAGGCCTACTTCTAATTTATTGTGTGTTTTTTTTTTTTTTGTATACATTTTGATAACATTATAACTGGACCACAGAGAACAGTACAAAATAATAAAAAAGACAGTTCATGACCCCTTTAAAGTGTCCTTCAAATTAATAAACATGACTGTTAATTTGTGCTGAATGTAGTGAAGGGCACTTTTGAAACCCTGCTTCATGAAGCTTTGAAACATTTGCAAATATTTTGTTTTGAATCAGATATTTGGAGCTTGTAATGAACTTGCCAAGTCATGCGACTTCAGCAAACGAGGCTTCGTTATGTCATACTGTTTTCGAACCCTGGTTTCAAAAATGTTCAAAGTAATGATGGTTCTGTGCTAGATGCCATTGATCTGAAACCATGAATGAAACCTTGAACCCTGGCTCATAGAAATTTGTACATTTTGCGGAAAATCATATGTATTTTACGAGGCGGCAAATTCGAAGGATTTCATACGAATGACCACCTCTAACCCCGCCCTAAACCTACCCCTAACAGAAAACGTACAAAATCCTACGAGTGAGGTCATACTAATTCATACAAATTAGCCACCTCGTAAAATACATACAAATTGGTCATGAGATAGCATTGGAGTGTCTGATGGTTTTCACTGATTTTGGATAAGTTTTATTGTGTAGGTTCATTGTTCATTGTTCAATGAATTTAATTTGAATACTTTTTCACATATATTACACAAAAGGAGAATTATATTTGATTGCTTCTAATTGACAGTTTCCCAAACACACACACACACACAATTATATAAAACTTCTATGGTACTTAATTATTTTCAGATTACATTTAATTGATTACATGTTCCTCCCATCACTAGCTGAATGAGTGAATACCAACCCTTGGAAGCAATGGGCAGCTGACACAACAAAGTCTGGAGAGACGAGTGATCCACCACAAACATGGCTTCCAGTGTAATGCAGGCTAACCTGCCAAGGCCACTGGCCAATCTGAGAGGTGCTGCCCCCTATGATCCTGGAGGCAATTTGCTGCTTGCCACAGTCTGAAAAAAAAAAGAAATGAAAAAAACCTCTTAATTCCATAGTTCAACATGGGAAGAATCATCCATTAACTCATCCACACAATGTCTCATTAACAAATATAGTTAATAAGGTTTACGCTGATGTATCACGTGTATCATTTAGTTATGCATCACAGTAATTAGACATAAACTGAGACTAAATATGACTGGTGGTTTAATAAAAAAATAGATGTATTCCTACCTGTGCATTCAAGTGAGACTGCTTTCTCATCCCGACAGCCCAAACTGAATGAACAAACAAAAATCACAAAAGGACATTATGTACTATTAAGGGGACTGTTATCTTGACAAAACAAAACATCTGCTCTGATATAATCTAGTCTTACCTGACATTGACCAGACCCTGTATTAGTTTGGCTGATCTCGGTCCTACAGTAAGGGCTACAGACATCTTGCTATCCACTGGATTTGATGCATAAGATCTAAGGCACAGAACCCCGAGGCATCAGTTATATTAAAATAGTTGTTGTTGTTGGGACAAGATTAATATTTGGTCATATATGGACCACTGAGTTCAGATCCATTAACGCATTAAGGTGATAGTTCACCCAAAAATGATAAATCTCTTATCATTTTTGCTCATATGGTTCCAAACCTGTAATGTATGACGTTTATTTTCTACCATGGAACAGAATACAAAAAAAAAAAAAAAGAATGTGCAAGTCATATGGACTATTTTACAAAAGATGATGTAATGATTTTCATTTTTAGGTGAAATATTCTTGTTGTCTTTTTTTATTTTTTTTTTTTATTATTATTACTATTTTTTAAATTATGTTTACCTTCTGAAGCCCAGCTGTTCACAGATCTGGTCAGCATAACTCTGATCCAATCCCTGATAACACACTGGAAGGAATCGACCATCCTGAGCAGTTCTGACCTGCAACACTCCACCTTCACCAAATCTCACTGAGAATTTTGAAGAGGAACATTAAAACAACGGAATTACATGTCCTTGATTAGTATTTTTGTAATGTTTTACTGCAACAACTTTTATTTTTATCTCAGTTTTAGTAATTTTAGTACTTCAAGTCATTTATTTCAGTAATTTGCCAAGGCTATTTTGTCTTTTTCATCTAATATTTATATATCATAATTTATTTCAATTACAGAAAATAGTTTGCAGTTGTTTTAGTATAAACATTTGTTAACAATAACAACAGTCTTGAATTAATGAATGAATTAATCCAAGATATATACTTAACTTAATGCAATATATGTTCTCTGGGTTTTATTATCTCACACAATTTTGTTTCTAGCTATCCAAAAGTAAATGATGTTGTTTTAAAGATGTTTTTTTTTTTTTTGCAGTGTAACCAGCAGTGCAGCTTTCAACTGTTTACTGTTTTGTCATAATACAGTAAATAGAGGCCTCACTGTGTACAGTAAATGCTTTTCTCAGAGCAGTACGGTTTCTCACTAATCTTGAAATCTAGTTGCCTTATCTAGACATGTCATCCTTGTAGTTTCACTTTAAAGCCAAAGCTGAAACACTCAGCCACTAATCTCTCTGTGTTGTGTCCTGAAAGAATCAATTACATCTGATTGTCAGCCTCTTTGCTGTAGAAAGTGTTCTCACCACAGTTTGCCTCATCGGCGGCCTGTTGGCAGTTTTGGATGCCATCACACTGCTTGGAAGAGTTGGAGCAGGTGTCAGGTACACTCGTGCCATCTTGCGTCCTGTGGTGTTCTTCTTCGCTGTCATGTTCCTGTTCCTGTTCCTTGCAGTCTTTTCCTCTGCAGTCGCTGTCATTTTCCTGTTCCTTGCAGTCTTTTCCTCTGCAATCACTGTCATGTTCCTGTTCTTTGCAATCTTGTCCCCTGCAGTCATTCTCATAATGTCCAGAATTCGACTTGGATCCATAGCACACTATCCACATAAGTGAGAGTGGTAAAGAGAAAAAGAGGAGAGGGGTTTAGATACAAGGCAAGCATTAATGGTATGTCCTGTCATTACAGATACATCCCCTCCCTTACCTCCAAGCCAGATGGCCAGTCCAATGAGAGCCAACACCAGCAGCGCACCTACCCATCCACCCCAACATTTGGCACTCCGTCCACAAGACTTCTGCCTTTTTGTAGGAACTAAAGGAACAAGAGCAATTCATACTCAACTAACCTCTCACATTTACAATTGAAAGTATGTAGCACTGTAATTGTAGTCGAGTGAAGGACTGTTCATTAATTAAAAAATGCATCTTAGTGCAGTTTATAAAGACAAATATGCACCTTGTCTATCATGAACATGTTTTCAAGTGTTCTTTTCATTTCATTTCAATTGAAATGAAAGTATTTTTTGTGGGGTTTGAAGTAAAACTGTGTAGGTGGTGTAATTGTCTGGATAATATAATGTAGATAATTCTTGAGGTAATACTTTGGCATAATCTTTAATTTTGTTTCTTAAAAAATCTCTGATGAAGTTTTAAAATATAATTAATGTTTGATATAAAAATATAATTAGAGATTTACTGACATCTGCTCATGTTAGATCAGGTTGTACGAAGGTACAACTTTTATATGGCTTCACCACTTGACATTGTGTGTGTATCTATATAGTGTAAGAAGAAGAATATAAACAGTACATTTCTAAAAAAAGAAAAAAGAAAAAGTACACGCTTTGTAAACACAATTTGTATGATTTTTTTTTCTTGAACATTCTTTTTTTCCAGCAGCTGAACCTTCACTGGGAGTTTGATTGACAGGCGATCTGACCAATCATAACGCTGCATCTGCCATGTTGTCCGCCAAACAAACCAGACAGGAGAGAAGATTAATGTTGGTGGGCTTGACCTTGAAAAATTGTGAGTAGTTCCTTGGGCTTGGTTTTTACTCAAATTTCACGATTCAATTCTGACTCACAAGATTTCAATTCGATATGATTTCCCATTTGATCTGATTCAATATTGATTATTTTGGATATATATCAGGTACAGTAGGCTACATGCAAAATTTTCTGAAGGAAAAAAAAAAATATCTCAACCAATGCTGTAAAATATAAATGAGAACCAGTTGGGACTACATTACTAAACTACTGAAGGTTAAAATGAACTAAATGTATACACAAATGCTTAAATTACACTCGGTGTCGTTTTACAATAATAAAGTTACAGTTACATAATTATATTTCTACTCCAATCTTTTTTTTTTAGAAATATAAACATTTAAATGGCTGCTGTCATAGAAACTTATTCAAACATAAACACTTAAGAACAGTAAAAAATTATAATGAATAGGTTATGTTATTTGGTGCATACATTTAGCAAAATATTTAGTGAAAACTTTTCTCTAGCTGACTTTTAAGTTTATGGTCACCGAATGTGTTTTTTTCTGAGGTAAATGTGATGTTACGTGACATTTTTTACAAGCTGTTATATTAGCGTCTTTCCGCGGTTGAAACACTGATTGAGTGATTACATGAGGCAGGATACGGATTTCGGTAAGTTTTACTCCTTCTTTTAACATACCTTCGGATGTTTACTCATGTTTATTTTGTGCTGAAACTGGTATTAAAGCCATCAGAGATCAGTTCAAACGCACTTCACGCTGCCGCTTCTCTTGAACTGTGCGCTACAGCGATCTGTCACGCCACATTAAACACCGCCAAAATGGTATTTATTGTTTGAATATTGTAATAAAATGGTACGAATTTGAAATCTAAGACTTTGTATCATAGGCTACTGTATCAAAAGTATCAAAGCACAATTCAATTCAACGTTACATTCATTAACTGAAAAACAGGCTAGACTTTGATTCTTGGGATTTAAGAATTGATATTGTTTTGTAAAAATGAGAATCGATTAAAATCGAGAAATCAATATTTTTTACCCAGCCCTAGTAGTAATGTATTTTTGCGGTATAAACAAGATACCTTCTGATGTTCATTCATGTTTATTTCGTGCTATAACTAAAGAGGAAGAGAGGATCGGTTCACGTGCCGCTTGAACTGAGGCACTACAGCGGTCTGTCACGACACTTAAAGAGCCACAAAATGGTATTGTTTGAGTGTATTAAAATTGACTGGTCAGATTCCCTTTCATTTAAACTCCCGGTGGAGGGTCAATTAGCCTCTCTGTTTTGATTATGATCAATTTGTAAAAACAGTTTGCAGATATTAGCTTCAATTAGCAAGAGCAGATTAAATAGGACGCTATTTTGAACAGTAGCACCAAACTGGAGTGACTGTAGAGATTCAGTACATACCAACAACATGCTGTGTAGTGATGATGACGGCGTCTACCTTTACTGGTGCTGGCTCCTTTGGAACATAGTATGGCACAGGTTTCTGTGTGAACCCATATTTGTCCTGACAAATTACCTCATCATAGGTCATAGGAGGCGTCTGTGGGTCCGCTGCCACAGAGTAGTATGGTGGCGGAGGGTCCTTCTACAAAAGAAAAAGTGAAAGTTTTCATAAATGATTATAAATGACTTTTCCATTAGCTCTATTATGGTTGGTGCGGTTTGACAAGTCCATTGTAAAGCATTATCATTTTAAAACAAGAAAGATGCCAGACAATGCTCTTACAATTGAAATGCCTTGACTTTCCTCCCAGACCAGAATTCTTTGAGTTCTACATTCTAGTCAAATGGCATAACAAATACGTCAATGTACTCGTATTTCTGGTCTACTTTTTGTTTTGCTTTGTTTTACCGTAACCTTGATAATAGTTTGAAAAAAAAAAAAAAAAAAAAAAAAAAAAAATGCTTTAAAAATCAAAACAAAGTTTTATATGAACACTATACCCAATCTAAACCTAAGATTTAAAGGGCTAGTTCAACCAAAAATGAAAATACTGTCATCATTTACTTTTTTTTTTTTTTTTTTTTTTTTTCAAAAAAAAAAAAAAAAAAAAAAAAAAAAAGACATGCTTTAAAAGTCAAAGTCAGCATGAAACGAAATTGCATTTTATTTTATTTTTTCAAATTTTGATGTACTGTATAGCCGTGTGAAACGGCTCAACTGGATTTATTGATTGGAAACAGATCTATGTAAATGGAAAGTGCACTGAAAAATAATAAGATGTACAAACAGTTTTCACTAGTAAAATTACAAGTATATGTCACAGTTAATTACAAATCGGAAAGTAACACATTAAAATAAATGAGACATTTTTGAAGGAGAAAGACTGAAAAAGTATTTTCTTGTAAAAAATATTCCAATAATCTTTGTTCTTGTTGAACTTTGAAAAAAAAAATCATTTTTGTAGCATATAATTTGATTCTTTGGTCACTAAATTGGGGTGATTACTGAAACCTGATTATTGAGGCTATGTGTTTGCACTGATTGCATGTTCCATCATCAAATCCTTATATGCTGCCAATCTGTTCAATATTTGAAACTTCATCTAAAATGGCACATGCAGCTTGGAAACCTGCTTCATTTCATCGTCTTGCTCATTTTCAGCCCTTTGCTTGTATCGGTCACGACTGCCCAATCCATTTTCATCCATGATAAGACTGAAAAGATGCAACCAGGGTTTTTTTTTTTGTTTTTGTTTTTTGTGGAGGGCGCTGTTTTCTGGGAAAGTCTTTGTCTTGAGGAAAGGCTGGCAGATTGCCTTTGACAAAGTGTTGACGTCTCTATGCTGATCTGTAACCTACATAAACAGTATGGTCACTATACAATGGATTGCTTCCTTGTGAGCAGAACAATGAAAAAAAAAAAGATTACAGTGTATCTTCTTCTGGGTGTATATCATTACAGGAAGTATTTATGTTTACAGGAATAGTTTTGTAAAAGTATATAGGAATTGTTTTAATTGTCATGTCATTCCAAACTCGTATAACTTTCTTTCTTTTGTGGAACACAAAATGAGCATTTCTAATGATGACATACCAGATTTCTTTAAATCCATTCTTAATATTCAGTGGGCTTTAACATAAGTCCTTTCTCTGCGGGTAATCTACTTTAGACAGCTGAAATAATCCAATATCAGGTTAAACACCCTCAAACAATAAGACTTAGGGTTTGTGCCTGCATTTGACAAATGAGATTTACATGTTGGATTTAACATTAACTAAGATTAATAAATGCTTTTAAAGTATTGTTAATTGTTATTTTATGTTAACTGATATTATAGTTAACTAGTGTTAACAAATATAACCTTATGGTAAATTGTTACTATTATATAATATATCAATATATACCCTCTTAACATAAGTCAATTTAAAATGGCATGTTAGATAATACATGCAGTTCATTAATAACTCAAATAATTTTTGCTCAGTAAATAGGCCTAAAATGAAGGAGGAAAATGCACAAAAAAATGAGTTTACGCAACACGCATAATTAATTCATGTTTAAAAAGTCCCAATTTACAAAACTAAAAGCCTTTAGTGTCACCTGTTGGAACTTTATTATCGCTTAATATCTAAAATCATGAGGTTAAGTACACTTAATTATTTCAGTTACTTGACTGGCCTTTTTTTTTAAGTCGTAATTTCTGTTTCAATGTTTTAACAAAGCAAAACCAGCTCAAGTATCTCTTGAGTGTTTGAGACCCCTACGATACATGCAAGCCAGACTCATACAAATGCATTTATATAAACCATTGAAATAGACCACACAATACAGAACTTTAACATGTCACACATGCATAAAAAAAAAAGACATACTAGGTCTAATAAATAAAAAAAAAAATAAAACTGAAAGCTTTCACTTTGCAGCCAAAACTCTGTGATTCTGTCTTACCGGGTCATTGTCTGCCATTAGATACAGGAGTGTGGACTTTGGTTAGATCCAATATGTATTAGGGTGGGCGGGATTTCAACCTGTCTCTACAATCCCAAAGGAAAAATGAGACCCTCTTTTCTATTTCTGAATTGCTTTTCAAGACATAGTTAGGACTGCCCTCTTATCCTCCCTCTTTTAGTCTCACTGGAGGAATGCCAGTGTCATATCTACCTGCCCGACCAGTTTCACGACACTAGAGCCCTGGATGGTTTACCCTCACCTCCCCTCTGGCTCACGTGGAAACAACGAGCTTAAAATAGTCTCGCATCAAAATAACTTCCCTGTTGGAATGTTATTAAAAGCGAATCACTGTTGTGCAATAGGCAGACCTAATGAATATCGTAAAACAATGGCAATTTACTACAACGCTGTGTTCACTCCACCCTCATATGTACAAACAGTTAATGCTTTGAGATAAAAATAGTTCTATTGGATGAATATGGATGACTAGTTGGACTAAAAGTTGCTTGATTTATCAGAGACTTTCAAAAGATGTTAAACTTCAATCATTGCAACCATTTTGTAGATCGCAATCATTCAAAGTGACTGTACAGGCCAGAAGTTGGGTAATAGTTGTCTGTCATACAGGGCTGTATCTCAGATCAAAAGTCTAATTACATAATACTTGTGTTACTTAGTACTTTTTTATATTTGTGGTTTTGTTGGTTTCAAACACCTAGTTCAAAACGGTCTAAAATTATAATAATGTTTAATAATTCAAGTATTTCTCAATGAAACAATAGGGCTAATTAAACAATGAAGAATGTTAACTGAAACGTTTGAAATTTGCCATCATAGGAATAATTTCATTTTAAAATACATTAAATTAGAAAACAGTTATTTTAAATTATGACACTATTTTACAATATTACAGATTTTACTGTCTTTTGTGATCAAATTAATGCAGCTTTGGAAAGCGCGCTCATGAACTTAATCTGCGTAATCAGCGTTGTTTACGTTCGGTGGGAAAACGCGCACATGAACTTAATCAGCGTTGTTTATGTTCGGTGGGAAAACGTGTGCATGAACGTAATCTGCGTAATCAGCGTTGTTTACGCTTAGGGGAAAGTGTGCGTATGCATTGTGATACTCTCTAAAATGGCAGAAGACGTAACTCGGGGGAGAAGAATTGTTGAAAAAAATATCAAGCGTAGCGTTAGTTCTGGCAGGTCACGTTAGTCAAGCTCTACCTATGGGACTACGACACCTATCTAAGCATTCATATATAAGGTCCCTCAGTATTATCAGCAGTTTTCGCATTGCTCAATTGCTAACTACCCTCCTCCATCCCCAACTCCTCCTCTGTCAGTCGGGATTCAGCCTTCTGATTCTCCTTGAATCAGACTAATTCTAAAATGTGTACATAAAATGATTGAACTTTAACAATATCTGCAATACATTTATGTTAGTTCTGTTCTGTTTACCCTGGGGGGTTATTGCTGCTCTCCCTGCTCTCATCCATGCTAGGCTGCATGGAGGCGCAGGGAGTTCTTGCCCAGAACAGAACCATACCGCCAATCCAAACTGTATGCTAATTGTCAATCATCTTTGACGATAGTGGTCCTGACAGAAATGTTATTTTTGTTTTTTTGCACTCAAAAAGTATTCTCGTAACTGAAGTTGAGCCACTGATGTCAAATGGACTGTTTTACCGATGTCCTTACAACGTTTCTGGACCTAGGAACATTACAGTTGCGTTGCTGTCTATGCAGGGTCTAAGAGCGCTCCCATTTCATCAAAAATATCTTAATTTGAGTTCCGAAGATGAACGAAGGTCTTACGGGTGTAAAACGACACGAGGGTGAGTAATCAATGACAGAATTTTCATTTTTGGGTGAACTAACTCTTGAAGTTTGACTTTTTGTCTAAATGACTGATAGGATCTGCTATCAGATAACATGACTATAACCAGTATTAACACATTTCTGTTATTACATTTTCATCTGATAAAATGTGCATGGTGAAAACAAAGTAGTATGCATTAATGCATGTCAGTTGGCCGTTCTTTTCCTGCCTCAGTGCTGTTACAGTAGGTGCAGTGCTGGCAAAACAAATAAGCGAACAGGGTAAAATGACCTGAGAGTCACATGACCTTTTACAACAAGGAAAGGGAGAAAGCTCACCTTTAACATTAAAGCTCTGCTATTTGCAATCTGTGTGACCTTTTTTCAGAATCACTGTAAGCATGAAAACATTCTCCAGCACAGCAGTGCTCAGCTGAAAGACGTGTTCATCATCATGTGATCATCTGTTCATCAACACTGAACAGGAAGTGCTCCACTGACACCTCACAAAGAGAGAATGACAAGGCAGAAAAGGCAGCTGTAATTCAGCATCTCTCTCCACCACAGGTAGCACTGTTCATTCATCCACTGTCACTGAGCTTCTTTTCATCACACTCCCCATGAATACGCCTCTGGTCAAGGAAAGATTTCTTAGAATATATTTTACCTTCCTTATATTGATATCTTGCTTGTACAGTATGTTTGACCATGAACACTCTTTGTGAACACATCTCTATGTATAACAAACGTGAGACAACCTTGCTTTATTGAATTATGTAATCCAATATAAACCAAACAATGAATTCTAGAAAATTTGACAAATTAGAGCAGAATATAATGAAGGCAAACGATAGGTTATATCACCGCTTTCATTGGCTATTTGTGCTGTAACACAAAGCTTAAAAAACAGTGAGATTAAGAATGTATATTCAGCAATTTATTGTATCAACAAAACAGAAAAGTGATAGAAGCTACTTTGAAACTAGGATCCACATGATTTGACTGAAAACACGACTGTTACTCTGACTCACTGAAACTGCCACTGTATACATTAAGTGCTCTAGACGTGCACTACAATATTGGGGCAATTTATTTATTTATGTATTTATTTATTGAAAGTTGTAACACAAAGCTTAAAACACAGTGAGATTAAGAATGTATATTCAGCAATTTATTGTATCAACAAAACAGAAAAGTGATAAAAGCTACTTTGAAACTAGGATCCACATGATTTGACTGAAAACACGACTGTTACTCTGACTCACTGAAACTGCCACTGTATACATTAAGTGCTCTAGACGTGCACTACAATATTGGGGCAATTTATTTATTTATGTATTTATTTATTGAAAGTTATTAATTCCTTTATTCAGCAGGGATGCATATCATTGGTTAAAGTGAATCAAAAGTCACATTTTAAAATACATTCAAATAGAAAACTGTCATTGTATTGTAAGTACAATAATATTTCACAATAATACTCTTTTACTGTATTTTGACAGGGCTAGTTTTTGGAGAACTTAAAACCAGAAATGTAAAGCTTATAATTTAATAAAATCATGTTGTAAAAATAGGATAAAACTGCACAGAAAAGGTTAGTATTTCAATACTTATGGATTGGCCACATTCACTTCAAATGTACTGTAAATGCCTCATTATAACTAATTTTTAAAGAAGGGTGGACAAGTCAAAATCTTTATGGTAATCAACATTATGCCACAAATAAACATAACTTGCCACACCTGGAATATTTTCTTAACCCCATGCACTGACAGCAGAGGCAATGATGCACAGATATTTTTCTTCTATAGTAATGATCCATGATCAAACAGGGTGAACATGCTTGGTACTGCTTCACTGATTTACACCTAAAGATCATGTACAAATACTTTGAAAATAAAACAAAAAACAAAAGGGTGTCACGTATTTGCAATTACAGTATTTACAGTTTGTTGCTGTCATTATATCTTATTTACTGTAACTAGTGTGGTCACACACACATTATGCAGCACACATTACACTTGTTGGATAATATTAAATTCATTTTTATAGTTATTTAATATATCAAATAAATAACAATTTCACTATCATTTTAAAGACCCCACATTCAGTAATGTCTTTAAACAACAAAGAGTATTTGATTATGAGTATTACTGTAAAGCAAAATGCACTTCAAAAGGCTTAGGTTATACATTCAACAGCAGGCAAAGGCTAAGGTAAACATAGGGGATATATATTTAGACTCATGATGTAATTCAGGTGAGGACAGCTAGGGTTGGGAGTCATGACAAGACACTTTCATAAGACTGATGACAGAGAAAAAAAAAACACTTGAAACATTCTGAATATCTTTCAAGATAAATCACTGAACAAGTTTTAGGGGAAGCTTTGTTTTCATTTACACTCTTAAAAATAAAGGTGCTTCACGATGCCATAGAATAACCTTTTGTCTAAATGGTTCCATAAAGAACCTTTAACATCTGAAGAACCTTTCTGTTTGACAAAAGGTTCTTTGTGGCGAAAGAAGGTTCTTCAGATTACAAAAAGGTAAGAAAGAGATGGTTCGTTAAAGAACCTTTGACTGAATGGTTCTTTGTGGAACCAAAAATGGTTCTTCTATGGCATCGCTTGAAGAACCTTTTGAAGCACCTTTATTTTTAAGAGTGTATGGCATTAGAAAAATATGCTAGGGAGCAGCTCCTCCTGTTGTGCTTCATTTATCCTTGGAGAAAAGGGAGTCATCTGATTTCTTTAACAAAGAAAGGCAGTTAAACAAATGAGTGCAGTCTGTTGTTTATTGTTAATAAATGCTTTTATTTATGGCTTTTATAACTATATAATTAAAGTCAAGCACGTTTGCAATCTTATTGACCGTGCATGATCTCAGCTGGGAAGCATGACAACTCAGTTTTTTTAAAGTGTACCTGCACTCTACACTGCCTCATGTTGGCCAAATGAAGAACGGCTGCTTTTAGATTTTATACCAGGATACATTTATTCCTGAAGATCTACCTTCCTGCAAAGTTCAGCTCCACCCTTACGGAAATTATCCATGGTTTTACTACAGATGAAAAAAAAAACATGGTTACCATAGTTAAACCATGGTAACCACAAATTAACCATGGTTTTGCTACACTAACCATAGTTTAACCATGGTATTTGTAGTAAAACTGTAGTTATACAAATAGTAATCAAAAAGCCATGGTTACTACACTTTTACTACAATAAAACCATGATTAATTTAAATAAGGGCAACCCTGATCAAATACAACTGAACAAACTAATTAATGTCGTGTTCTGGAAGAGGTCGGAAGTGGGAACATTGAAGTTTAAATGTCTCACTTCCAATCCCAGTGAACTCACACACTCACAGTCAATCACACATCACTAACATATTGACCTCATGATGTCGCCATGACACAATGAGAGCATTTGGTGTTTTTGAGTCAATTATGGCAAAAACTGTAAAAAAAAAAAAAACATTTACATCAAATATTGCTGTTCGTTTTGAAAACAGCTGATGAAAAGCAAAAAAAAAAAAAAGACGAAGAGGTTTTTTATTAAGTTTAATTAAATTAATTTTTTTAAGTTTGACACGAGGTATGCTCGTTGGATGCAGTGTCGTCAAACGCGTCCTGCTGGAGTCGGGGTTGATGGATCTGCTCCAAGTTCACAGGTCAGATGTCCAACTTCAAGCGGTGTTCTAGACGTAGGAGGTGGGTAAAATCCTAATTTTGAGTTGTCTGGAAAGCAGCATGAGTTTCCAGTCAATCACATGTTACATTAACATATTGACCATATGATGTCGCCATGACACACCGAGAACATATTTGTACATTGAATCTGAATTTAGAGTTGCTGCATTCCCTTTATCTCGGAAGTCAAATGTCAGAGCTGGGAATTATGTCACATCCACATGGACCATTTTCCAGTCAATTAAAAACACATAAAAAGCGGTATTTTGCACAGATAATGCCATAGTATCATGTCCACAAATACAGGTTGAAGAGTAGGCCTACTGTGTGCACCACTGAGTTTACTGAGACACTGACAAACAGAAGTGCTAATAAACAATATATTACTACTGTTTCTCTTCTGTTGATGCACTGAGCAGCCATATTGGATTCTGAAGTTGGAGTTGTTGCGATTCCGAGTCAGAACTCCGACTTCTGAGGGCATTCCAGTTAAATGTCCCTACTGGAAACTCGGAATTTCCAACTCACAAGTACAAATGGAACACACCAATAATCTCCAGGAGCACTTGATAATTACAGACAGGTGTGTTTGATTACGGTTGGAGCTGAACTTTGCAGGTAGGTAGATCTCCAGGAATAGGATTGGGCAAAATTATTTATTTTGGATTATATAGGCAACTTTTAAATAGTCTAAATTGATGTCAAAATAATTGTCCATTTGACTCACAACTTCAACTCAAGTCTAAGTTAGCATGAAACACTTATTTCCATGAAAGAAGATCTGAATACATTTAGTACACTTTCTATTAGAACAGGAAGATGCCAGAAGGACAGGAAGGAAATTATATCAAGAAGCAAAATATGAACACTTAATTATTATTGTTGTTATCATGGAGGTTGGTTTGTGCTTCATTCCACCCTTGAATGAGTTTCTGCCTCACATAATAACAGAAATGAGAAAAATAAAACAGTGTCTTAATGACATAAGCAGTTAATTTAGAAAATATCATTATTATATGGCAGCAAGTGACACTAAAATGACCTATGTCAGATAAAACACATGGGAAAGTGTTAATGCTGTCAAAAGGAAGCATGCTGAGGAAGGGCAAAGGGGAAGTTACAGCCATTCCTGGCAGAAAGTTCCCTTTCGTTTCACCAGACTCATTCAGCCATCATCAATACAGTTCGTCCAGCCCAGGTGAGAACCATATCTGCTAACTTTTTCAGTAGCTCACACATTTATGATCTGTAAGCCATCAATATGACTTCAGCACTACAGTATTGTGGTAGGTTTACCACTGTTAGAATTTATTTTTAGATAATCTTGCCCCAAAAATGAAAATGACAATGAAAAATGTAAAACAAAAGGAACTTATTGTCACTTTACATGTAACAGAAATGGTTTTTGGTCAGAATAAGCTCCAAAATGGACCACACTTTACACTATTAGTCAAAGGTCTGTCTACATGAGACTGCTGCTGTGAATGAAATAACCTTTGGTCACTGGTGAGAGTAATATGTCTTGCCAGAAGAGGGCAATGTTTGACCTTTTTTTAGGTTGTTTTGGCTCTGGAGTGTCATTCTTTGCTTTGGGAAAGGAGCTTCCAAACAGTGCTGACCTTGATTGTTTCTGGGGAAGTGCTGGTGTTTCCAAAGATGGAATAGGTACATTCAAAATGAGACTAATAATGACAACAACAAGTAGTTTTACATATTATTAAATTAAAGTAATCTGAGTGGTATACACTCGAGTGAGATGAAGACTGCACCCAGTCTTTCCTATAGACTTCAGCCAGTTCAGATGCCATGCTGAATTTAACGCTGTTTTTAACACTTACAGTCTTTACAATGGCATATACTATACAAAAGTCCTATCATGTAATTTTCACAACGATTTTCACAATAGTTTTTCTACTGAAAGTGATTTTCAGGAAATAGCACTAGTAGTGAATATTTATAGGGTAACCTTGTAAAGTTACTACTATTACTACGACTATTACAATTTTAGTCAACTAAGCCTCTTCTAGTTGACTAACATTTAGTCGACTATTAAGGCGGCAGTCCTAGAAAATAGTTTGGTTCCTGAATTAATCTGCATTTTGAAAGAATCCTTTGAGCAAATGATTCAATTACCCATCAATTACCCTCAGTTACCCATGTCTCTTGACTCCGAAATCATGTAGTGCTATGCCCACTTTGTTGTGCATATTCAGAGCTTAATGAGGCAGGCATTCCTTCAGCAAGGGATAGATGGTATTGGTTCCCCATATAGCGTCAACACCAATTGTGTCAAGACCAATGTCTTAGGTTGCATTTGCAACCAGGTTCCCTGAGAAGGGGAACAACTGTGTCTCATTGCCATGCCTCTGGCTTGTCTGTTCATCTCAGAACAACACATTCTCACTCCCAACTCGTCACATACTGATGCTTGGTCAAGGCCCTTTGGCATCACTTTTTGACGCACACCCCATAGCATCATTTTCCGACGTGCAGGGTACTCCATTGCTTTAAATAAGAAACCTTTGGCAACAATATTCCGACGCGAAAGGCATTGGGAATTTTATCCTTATATTAAATTATAATTGGGTAATAATATTGCCATTATTGCATATATGTTGGTGTGTGATTTTTCAATGTAAACAGTCACAACAATTTGATTTACACTTCACTATTTATACATATATGAGCATGTAACCCAAACCCTGCCCCTAAACCTATTATTTGTCAATAAAACACAGTATATAACAGGCAGGTACGACTCCAGTCATAATTTATAAAAAAAAAATAAAAAAATGAAAAGTCTTCCGAGGAAAAACAATTGATTTGTGAGAGGGATAAATGTGATCACCGTCTATGTCTGCCGAAAAGCTCAATCTTGTTTGCAGTCTGTGCGCAAATTCAAAAACTGTCGCCAAAGGAAGCCATACATCAGCCTTGGTTGTGAAATGCCATTGGCTCTTGTGTGTCTCGTGACTGACTGCGTCATGCTAAAGTACGGGAGTATGTTTTTAAATGAGATGTAATTTTAATAATTTATGCATTTAGGAGATGCTTTTATCCAAAGCAACTTACAGTGCATTCAGGCTATACATTTGTTTTTTACCAGTATGTGTGTTCCCCCCTGGGAATCAAACCCACAACTTTTTGCGCTGCTAATGCAATGCTCTACCACTGAGCCACAGGAAGCTTTGTTATGAAGCTCTGAGAATATTTTTGTGCAGAAAGAAAGCAAAAATAATGACTTTATTCAACAGATTCTTATCTTTCGTCTCAGACTTTGATGTGCATTCACGACAGTACCACGAAAGAGAAGAATTGTTGAATAAACTCGTTATTTTTGTTTTCTTTGTGCACAAAAAGTAGCAGCAAATAAGAATGAGACTCTATTGTGCTTGACTGTTGTTTTTATTTTTCTATTCCTTGTTTTTTGAAAAGCAGCAGTGAAACAATGGAAACACCATGAAACTAGTCTGAAAACACCAGCACATTTCACCAAAGTTAAAAGCGAAACCCAGTGATGAGCAAAATTAAAATACACTTCCTTATGTAACACAGCACTGAGCAACTAAAGCAAAACATTTTAACATTATGAAATAGAAATCCCCAAATAATGTCTTTTTTTAACTTAAAAAAGTACAGTTTGAAAGTTAAAGGTTTAGTCTTCGATAACCTGTGAAAAAGGCTGCAAAATTTTAGTTTCACATGTTTGGTTAAAATGTAATTTTAATTTTAAAAGCATTTTACAGAATAGGTCCTTACATGTACCATGCTGAATGGGAAACTGTGTCACCATGCCATTTTTCTTTTATTGTTATCAAATTATTTTAATCTGGGTCAATCAATGTTCTAGTAACAGAGTTAAACTTCAACTTCATTCAGTGAACCTTCTCATAGAGGCCATATGATGATCTCAGTGTGATTTGTACTCTCGAGGGAGATCTGAGTAGTATGTGCATTTTGAGTCTAAATATAGACACATGCCCTAGGATATTGTGAATCCTCAGTATGTGATTCACCCTGAGTTTGACCTATTTACATACATACATACATACATAAAAAAAACATAATCCAAACAAACACTCTATTTATTTATTTATGTATTTTGAATTTTCAAATAATTACAATTATTTTATTTTGAAAAACGGTGGCTGAGCATGCATGAGCAGACTGTTGCTATTTATGGTTTTGCTTGGTGAGATGATTCTGTTTAATAAAATGCACACTGGCTATAATAAGATCATAATTAGATCACCAAATAATTTAGAAACAGGGCTGTAATATGTCTAGCTGCAAAATAGCTTTTCCCCCAAAGAATACTTGTTGAGTGAGTTTTGTGTCATCATGTTTCATGTGATTCAGCCTTAGATCAGGTGTGTGAAAGTCCTTTTGTAAGAACACTGATCTTGGACCAGCCTTTGATTTTCAAATAGTGAAGAACATAACTTCATATGGTCAAAGGCAACTGATTGTAGATGATCAGTTTCACTATAAATGTGTCTCCAGGCCTGGGTGAGGGAGTGGGTATGAGCTGGATGGATTACCACACGGCTTTTCAGTTCTTTATCTAATGGGAAAGTGAAACATGCAGACAGAGTGAGTCAAATTGGCAGCTTTCTTATGCAAAATGTCCTTCTCTGCTGAAAAATAATGATTTAGACATAATTTCTAATAGAATAAATGAATGGAGGTTAATACAACAATATTTTTAATTTGCTTTTTAATATATATATATATATATATACACACGAGACGCGCTGAAATCGCGCTTGGAAGTTAAAAGCAGCTTGTAAGTGTATTTATTTCTTGTCTCAGTGTTTAGCGCAGTTGTCGTTGCTAGGAAACGCTTGTTTTGTTTACTGTGTGGAGACGTGCTGAAATCGCGTTTGGTCTCGTACTGTATCGCATACCTTGTCAGTGTCGTGCGCTTTGCTTGGCCATTTGTTATGATAAAAAGGAAAGTGTGTTCAGCTGAATTCAATTTGAGTTTTGTTAGACAAATATAAAAAGCTTACTATACCGCGGCAGCGGTCGCGGCATCGCTCGTGTGAGGCTCTCCTCGTGTTAAGACCGAAGAGTATAAAGACCATCGACTCTACCGTTCGACTCCACCGAGCAGGGACACCGGCAAGGGACATACGTATCGCTTTTAAATCATTCTCTTTCCTACTACTTGTTTCCCTTCTGTTTTCAGTTTTTATAACCAATTCTTACTATGTGTTTCCAGATCCCTACTATCACTACCACTCGCAAACCATGCATCACACACTGTAGGCAGCACAATCCTAACAACCTGCGCACTTTGCATATGTCTACTAATACACTACTTTCTTTTTCTATTGGTCTCTGGACTTGCCAGTCTGCTGTAAACAAAGCAGATTTGATTACTTCTATTACAAGTCTTTCAAGACTAAACCTCATGGCCCTGACAGAGACGTGGATCAAACCAGAGGACAATGCTACACCTGCAGCACTCTCCAATAATTTCTCTTTTTCCCACTCCCCCCGTCTGACTGGAAGAGGTGGAGGTACTGGTCTGCTTATCTCTAATGGCACAAATCACAAAATCCTACTGACCTTAATGTATATCGATCACTCCTTTCTTCATTCTCTGCTAATGTCTCCACCGCTAAAAGGACATACTATCACAACATAAGTAACAATTCGCCTAACTCTTGCATGCTCTTTAAAACATTTTCCTCCATATATGTATATATTTATTTTATACTTTAAAAACATAATTATAAAAAAAGTATAACTAATTGATGTTAATGCAACAAAACCTGAAAATGCACAGAAAATCATAACATATGCAACAGCTCAGTCCTCTTCTCAGAACTTGGTTACAAATTCCAACCACACCCCGCCAAATGTCAAAGTTGGTTTTCTGTACTCAGAAAAATTATTCTGCAAACAATAGATGCGTGGAAGATAGTCAATCGAATGAGCAAAAATGCATAGAAATGATGTGCAATTACTGTGCATGTATTACCACTAATACTTCAGGCGCAGATATGCATGCACACATGTGCATGTGGTCACACGCTGATATGTAAACTGTAGTTCAGTATTGAGAAACACCAGTTTTTTTTATAGATTAGAAAAAGTGTAAATCACAAACAGTAAGAACTTAATGAGCTATTACTAACAAAAAATTCCTTTGTAAATACCAAGAAAAAACATGATAACTCTGGTACTCTACCTAATTAATCTGTACACTGGTATTTCCCTTTACATTGGGAATAGTATTTATAGATAATAGATTCACACATACAGTGTAGATTTTTTATGTTCTGTGTGTACATGTTCACGTACACGGCTACAGTTTGCACTTGATGGTATGTTTATAACCACAAAAGTGAGAGAAAAAAAACATAGCTTTCTCAGAGTGGGGGAAATACTGTATCTGCCATCACGGAAGACTGAGTAAAGCAAAACAGAGAGAGGGGAAGTTCACAGTGCAAATACATAGAGAGCCAGTCAACCACTCAACCTCACATTCACATGAGAGAGAGAGAGAGAGAGAGACGTGCGGACGGAACTGAGCAGTAACTGAACGTTGAGCTGGCTCTGTTAGAACGGTTATTTAGTTATCAGGAACAGTGCATGATGACATTGAGTTTTTATGTGTGTGTTTGTTTGGAACTGGACTGGAATCAGGATTTAATATTGGATATGATGCTCAACTGACATAAACATGGATTGGACTTCATGGATTTCGTTTTTGGTCGTGTTAATAAACGCCCCAGTTTACATAGGAGGTAAGTTTTTTTTTTTTTTTTTTTTTAAAGCCTCTCTCTCTCTCTCTCTAGATGATAACAATGTATTTTACTGGATAATAAATAATATTAAGATAACATAATAAATAATAAAAAGTAAGATTAGATCAAATAATATTTTTACATTTACATTACATATTCATAAAAAGATAGTATAGACAATACTGAAGAAAAAAAAAAACATAGTAAATACAAAGTGCAAGTGGGCGCTTGACTTGAAGTCCCCGGTTTCTGTCACCGTGATGACGTGAGTGATGTAAATTCCTCACCAAATTTGGACGTCCCCCCCCAGTGACCTTGAAACCTTTCAACACGAATATACTGTATAGCAAAGACAATATGCGTTAATTTATTAATTTATCTCTTTATTTGACAAGGATATCGATATCCGACTCCAGTGAATATCATCAGGTTCCTTAGATGTTAAAACAGACCTTTATTCCTTGTTAAAACCACCATAGAAAATGCAGTTAGAGAAAACACCAATTTGTATAATTGTTTTACTCAACTAACTAACCCCGGTCTTCGCCAATACATTGTATTTTACATCATTGTGTAAGTACTCTTTGGTTTTGGTTGGCAGTTTGCTTGATAAAGTAGAGATTCATATTTGTAAAATGACTAAAAAAAAAGGTGTTTTCATGTCACCTACACCTGAAATGTACAGCTGATCAGGATTTATTCACAGTAAATATAATACCTCAAGTGTGAGACTTCAGCTTTGACTGGAACAAGTGCAAATAAACCACTTCTCTATTGGGAAGAGAAGATAATTGGTTCAAAGTATGGGAAAGTCTGTAGATAATTCTGATAATTTTCCTCTTTTTTTCACAGGTGAACCACTGGAATTAAATGTGACGTTAGACATATGGGAAGGAAATGTAACTGTGCTCTGGGATCCCCCTAAAGGAGCCCCCGTATATGCCCTTTATCAAGTAAAGACAGCACTGTAAGCAGAAATTTGGCCTTACTATCCACCAAACAGTATAAAACTATGTATATGTTCTCAGTTGCCGAAAATATAATTTTAGTTTTTGTCCACCTTTTTGCTTGAATGAAATTTACAATACTCCAAAGCTAATCTACTTGTCTTTTTTTGGATAGATATATGCATTCTAATGCTGAATGGGACATTGTGACAGAGTGTAACATGACTACGGAAACTAGATGTGAGCTTGGGAACTTTTTATACAAACCTTTAATGAAAATAAAGATTGGACTGTTTAAAGGAAATTACAACTTTTCCTGGTCAGCAGCAAGACGAATTCGTTTATTTAAGAGTAAGTATTCGCAGGACTACTATTTACCAAAAAAGTGTAATAAATACAGTTAATACTACTTTCTTTTAAGTATAAAGAACATCCTGTTTTACTGTCTACAGGTTGTACATTTGGTAATGATGATCTTCCTTCCATGTTTTAGGCAAATTGTTGGCTCCAGAGTTTGACCTGTCTTCCTCCCCTAATACGGTGAAGGTTAAGATTTATAGAAAGCCATTTCTCAATGATCTTTTTGAATATGGATCAATGTACTCTGTCATTCTGTACCCAAAAGGACAGGAGAGTCAGGTTGGTTTTTAGTGGACTACCCCAAAATTGTTTTTGACAAAGTGTCTTTGCAATAAATGAATATCTCGAGGTTATGTATGTAATCATGGTACCCCGAAGGGAACGAGATGCTGCGTTGAACACTTTAGGCACGCCCCCGGCGAGACCACATTCTGAAGCATGTGTGAAATCAGTCCAATAGAGAAGCGAGACGTCACTAGCTGGGTGACGTGAGCAACCAGGAAGCATAAAGGCACATCCCGCAAGCACACATGTTAGCTTCTGCGGAAGCGAGCGCCTGCAGGGACGCAGGGTGTATGGCAGGGAGACGCAGCGTCTCGTTCCCTTTGGGGAACCATGGTTACATACGTAACTTCGAGACGTTCCCCTTCAGGAACTCAAGCTGCGTTGAACGCTTTGGGAATGAGAATACCCACTGCGTCATATGAGCAAGTCCTTGTCTGGTGTGTATCTGGCGAGCACATCAAGACGAGAGAACTTGGGACCCTGGGGTAGATGTCAGGTTCAGGCTGTAGAAACGGATGAATATGTGTTATCAAACCGAAATCGTTTGATAGCGTGGCATAGTAGACGCAGATATATGATCGGACGCAACCCCCCATCCTTCTTCGGAACGCGTTCTATGACCTCCTTCCTCAAGAGAGTTTCTACTTCTTGTTCCAATACCAGAGCCTGCTCGGGGCCCACTAACATAGGAATAACCCTGTTGAAGTGAGGTGGACAAGAACCGAACTGAATTCTGTAACCTCTCTCTACAGTGTGCAGGACCCATTGTGAGACATTTGGCAGAAGTTTCCACGCTGTCAGAAAGTCTACTAAGGGAATCAATCTCTCGAGACTGGCCTCTGGTGTCACTAGAGGAGCCACTTCAGTGCCCTGAAGTGAATGACTGGCAGGGAACGACCAACCTGACTGCTCTAGCGCCCTCATCTGAAGGGACGAGCTTTCCCGTGCCGTACCATTGCCGGGTGGCAGCTGGGAAATTTGCTTGTCGGAGCACACTGAGCCCTGAAGCACCGGTAGGTGGCAGGGGTATCAGTGAAGCCCCCTGAGGGCACTAAGGAGGATCGGGCACCGTATACTGAGGTGTGTACCTCTCCTCCCCAGGGTGGGCTGCCCTCAGGGTCCTGACGATGGTATTGTCAAGACCGCTTGGCCGAGGTCCTCTTAGACATAATAGCGGAACGCAGATCCATTTTCCATCTGGCGATATAAGGAGCTGGATGGCTGGGACTGCTCCCGCTCAGCAGTCCCAAAGCCCTGGAAACGGCGAGGGAGGAAGTGCTGGAATGCCGCCGCCTGCTTCTTTGCGTCCTGAAATCTCTTGATGACAGTATCGACTGTGCCGCCGAAGAGGCCAGAAGGCAATAACAGAGCATCCAGCAGGAAGAATCTGTCCTTATCCTGTAATTCAGACAGATTCAACCACAGGTTCCGCTCCATGGCCACCAATGCTGCCACTGAACGGCCGATGGCTCTGGCCGTTTCTTTAGTGGCCCGAAGCGACAGATCTGTGTCCCAGCGTAGTTCAGCAACTACGTTGGATTAATTTTCCTCCCTATCATCCAGGTCTTTAAGCAGGTCGGCTTGGTATGCCTGCAACAGCACCATAGTGTGCAGACACGCACCGGCCTGACCTGCCGCCGTATAAGCTTTCCCAACCAGGTTAGATGTCAGCTTTACTAGCCTGGTGGGAAGCTTCGGGGCCTTCAGGGACGATGCTGAGGACGGGGAGAGATAACTCGCAAGCGTCTGCTCCACCGCCGGCATCGCCCCATAACCCTTCTCATTCAGCCCCATGATGAGTAGTTTGTGACTGTAGGGCTGAAGAGTCGGGATAAATATGGTTTCTCCAACGATCTTGACACCTCGGCATGGAGATCGGAGAAAAATGGAAGGCCCCGACGTGAAGGTTGTGATCCGGCTTTGAGAAAGCGCTCATCCAGTTTGCTTGTGTCCTGTTTCTCAGCTGGCCAAACGATGTTGAGCTTGGCTACAGCGCGAGTCACAACCTCCACTAGCTCCTCATACACAAGGGACTGTGGTGGCGAGTCCGCAGTTTCCTCCGTGTCGACGCTCATCACATTAGCCTCCTTGGAGGAAGATAGATGAAGCACCTGGCTCTCTCTCCAAGGGGAAGAAACCGCGGCGCGGGCTTCCGATCTCTGAGAGGGAGTCGTGGATCTAGTGGGTGAGGAACGAGATAAAGATGAGCCCGTCTCGGATCCCTCCGCTAAATCCACTTGCGATCCCCACGATAACAGCCACCGCTGTGCCTTGGCAACAGCAAGCCGGACCCAGTAGGATCGCGAACCTGGCCGCTCTCACCGAACACGGCCAGGCAGGAGCGGAGCACACGGAGCGGGAGAAGCTTACAGTCATGGCAAGCATGGCCCCCTCGAGGGCTGCCCGTGCATGCTCCGCTCCCAAACAGACGACGCACAAATCGTATGTATGACTTGAAACGCCGTCCGCGTGCCACATTAGATTTACTTTTACACTTAGGCATTGCCTCGCTTTCTAACGGTGAAAAACTGACTGACTGAAGTGCTTATGCGACACACACATACACAGACGTACTCGCTGAGGAGCAGACGCGCCTTTATGCTTCCTGGTTGCTGACGTCACACCACTCGTGACGTCTCGCCTCTTTATTGGACTGATTTCACACATGCTTCAGAACGTGGTCTCGTCAGGGGACATTCCCAAAGTGTTCGACACTTGTTGTATTGCATGTCATTGCAATCGCTAAACCAGTGTTTTTTTCTGATGTAGGCTTTAACAGTAATTGATGATGATGAAGATGGAGAGGTGGAGTTCACATCATTACCGTTATGGCAGGAGTATTGTATCCATGTGAAAGTAGAGATGACATCTAGTGATGTGAGCAACACTTCATTACCACGCTGCATATATCCATCAGCAGGTACTGAAGATCACATGGACACTAATTGAATAAATAAATCTATTTTTACAGAGGTCTCTCAAATAGAAGAATGTTCTGATGCTGTTTTTATATAATACCAACAAAACATTAAAGGGATAGTTCACCCAAAAATGTAAATTATGTAATTAATTACTCACCCTCATGTCATTCCAAACCTGTAAGACCTTCGTTCATCTTCGGAACACAAATTAAGATATTTTTGATTAATTCCGAGAGGTCTCTGACCCTTGCATAGACAGCAAGGATCCTGCCACGATCAAGGTCCCGCAAGGACATCGTTAAAATAATTCATGTGACATCAGAAGTTCAACCGTAATTTTACAAAGCTACGAGAATACTTTTTGTGCGCAAAGAAAACAAAAATTACGACTTTATTCAACAATTCGTCTCCTCCACATCACCCTGGCGCCATTTTGGAGAGTATCCACTGAACATAAACAACGTATGCTGTTCTGTGTCAGCACCTCCACTCGGATATGTTGTGTACGCTATGATCTGAATGAAAACAATGTATCCATGTGGTGCTGCTGACAAAGAACAGCATACGTTGTTTATGTTTAGTGGACACTCTCCAAAATGGACATGGAGGAGACAAATTGTTAAATAAAGTTGTTATTTTTGTTTTCTTTGCACACAAAAAGTACTCTTGTAGCTTTGTAAAATTACGGTTGAACCACTGATGTCACATGGATTATTTTAACGATGCCCTTGCTACATTTCTGGACCTTGATCATGGTAGGATCCTATGGGAGGGTCAGAGAGCTCTCGGAATTGATCAAAAATATCTTAATTTGTGTTCCAAAGATGAACAAAGGTCTTACAGGTTTGGAACGACATGACAGAATATTCATTTGTGGGTGAACTATCCCTTTAAAAGATTAATCAATATTTATTTAATATGTAGTATGTAGCACACAATAAACCACTTCAGGGTGATTCAAGACCCTACGGTTTTGTGTTTGGGTTTATTATTTCCTATGTATGTTTCTAAAATTATTTCTTTGTGAAATTTAAATCACTTTCTCTTGTTTGTCAGATGTGTCCCTGGTGATCACCATGGCCGTTATTGGTGTAGTTGGAGTCATGTCTTTCTTCATGTTTGCAGTCTGTTTTTGCCTGAGGCGTCCTGGTAAAATGCCCGCTGTTCTGGTGAGTCAGCTTGGGGATTTTAAAATAAATGCACTTTCATCAAAACCAAAAGTGCTAGAGCAAGCCAGTTTCAGACTTTTAAAAAAGGAATTGTAAGTGTAAAGTGTAAGAAGAAAAGCTCAGTACTGACCCATGTCACAAGTGTCGCTTCTCCTTTCGAGGAACAGCAGCAGAAAACGGAAATGCTGGGGATTTTTTATGTCTTGCGTATATATGATCTCAATGTTTGGTTTAAATGATAACACAATTCCATTCACAAAGAAACTATTTTGAGACTTTCTGGTTGACAAATAAATGAATACATTATATACAAATATATGTGTATACATATTTTGAAAAAAAAGTATCTTATGCTTAACAAGGCTGCATTTATTTGATCAAAAATACAGTAAAAACGGTAATATTGTGAAATATTTTTACAATTTAAAATACCAATTCAAATATAATTTGAATATTTTTTTTAAATATAATTTGCTTCTGTGATGGCAAAGCCAAATTTTAAGCAGCCATCACTGAAGTCTTTTCCATGTGATCCTTCAGAAATAATTGTACTATTCTGATTTGATGCTCAATAAACATTTTATCATTAGTAATTATTAGTGTTATAAACAGTTTTGCTCCTAACCTAAATA